TTTTCCCTGAAATTTTGATTTACAATAGTTTGCAAGATTGCGATAAGAACACAGTAAAGTGAGTAGATGAGTTAACCTATTCAACGTGATGACGTTTAATGTCACTGACAACATCTGTAGTCCCATTTAGCCACTTGTTCGCAACCAACAAGGCAAGTAAAAGCTTAAAAGAAGCGGGTATTACTGATTATATTACTGTATTTTGTGTCATAGAATAAAACAAGTTTGTGCTAACCACAGACCTTATTTCTGGCATTTAACACACACACACACACACACACAACATTGACTTCAGCACAAGTGCTAAAATGTGATTTCCATCCTACCAAAAAAAATGTCATCCCTGCAGCAGTCTGTCTCACAGTAGCTCTGGTAACATTATAACACTGGCTTTCTCTGGTTCTAAACACAGCAACAGGGCTGTAAACCTACGCTTTCTTCAGAATGCATGTAATGCACAGGTAAACACACATGAATCGGATCGCAATGTTTAGGGGTTCATATAAATAGAATGTGAAATCAGATCGGATTCATGAAAATGAGTACATGCAGATGTACCTATAGAAACTTGGAGGTGGGCTCTGTTGACATGGGCCAATATGAAAGTACCTAGCAACTACCCAGAATAGCCTAGAGAACCCTAGATACTACCCAGAAGACTATAGCAACCCATTAAAACCCACTCCAAATACATAGCCACCACATACCCTGTTGAAAAAACCAGCATATGCTGGTTAGGTATGTTTTGACGCTGGGATGCTGGTTTAAGCTGGTCCTTTGCTGGTTTATGCTGGTCCTTTGCTGGTTTAAACTGGTCCTTTGCTGGTTTATGCTGGTCCTTTTGCTGGTTTATGCTGGTCATGTACTGGCAAAGGACCAGCAAAAGGACCAGCATAAACCAGCAAAGGACCAACTTAAACCAGCATCCCAGTGTCAAAACATACCTAACCAGCATATGCTGGTTTTTTCAACAGGGACAGCATCCCAGCAGCATAACAGCGATTTTTGCACAAGAAAGAGGCACACTCGGATTCAGTTTAGAAAATGTTAATTGATTAATTGATTGAAGTCAGAATTGATTGAATGCCAACTCCCCCCCCAAGAAGAAAATAAACATAAGAAGAGATTGGAATCTTTCAAACAGAGATTTTGTTGAGGTCACATTCTGATTTTTATAGCTCATGTGCGTAGGTTCATAGGTGAACGTACTTGTGTGAGTGTGTTTGGATAGATGTCAACAGATTCATGGGTGTATGAGTCATCCAGGTTTGTAAAGATTTTATGTGAGCTGCAGCCCCAGATCATTGAGAGCCAATATCTTGATACAAGAGCAGTCTCATGTAAAGTAAGAGCCTCTCCCTGTAGCCAGGGGTCTGTGCAGGAAACCAGGACTGCACCTCGTCCTCCATGTGCAAAGATGATTTAGGGACACTCAGAGAGATATTATATACCTGCAGAACATGGTTGCATTTATGTTTTAACTCAAAATATCATATCTGCCCTTTAGCATCCAATGGCCATATATTTCAGTTTCAGAGGTATTATTATATGAAAAATATATATGAAAGCATTGTTTTATGATATAACCATAGGGGTATTATTTACAGCACTAAAATACTGTATCTGAATGGTTTACACCCTTAAATGATAATTTCACAACCCTCTGAAGTACTTAATTCTGACTGGTCACTTTTGGGATTCAATGGCATATTTTTGTGCGGTAATTACTAAAATGTGCAACTATCTATAGTGCCAGGAAAACAATTCCATACATAGCTTCAAGCTTCATTAGTTTAAACCAGATTTAAACTAATATTTTATGTCCATTTATTTGGAAATTAGCCAGCTCATCTACAATATTTCTTAATTGACTACATTAAGTTTGTTTTTGTTTTTTATTTGAATTTGACCAACAAATGCACTTCATAAAATGATTTTCTTACTTAGTATTTTTGTATTGTTTTCCATAACAGATATCTAAACATTCTTAAATCAAGATACATTGAGAGGCAAAGTGACTATTCGGTCTTGTTTTCTGAAGAAAATATTAAAATTTTGTTAGTTTTTGCTTAAAACAAGAAAAGTTATCTGCCAGTGGGGTCCGGAAAAATAATCATGTTTCCCCTTTGAATTAAGATTACTTTTCTTATCCCATTATCAGATATTTGTTTCATGTTTTAAGCAAAAACGAACAAAATTGATACATTTTTCAGAAAACAAGACTTAATATCTTGATTCAAGAACGTTTCGATTTTTGCACTAGAAAACAAATCAAAAATACTAAGTAATATTTTTTTTTCAGTGTGTCTTAAATAATCATATTTTCCAATAGCATGTACTGTATGAATGCAGGGACACTGAAGACACAACACACAGAGTTTTATATTTAACAATATATATTTTCCAATTTCAATGTACATTCCGTTTTGACATAAGCTTTTATTCACAAACAAAAGTAGGCATCTAAATAAATACTATATAAAATAGAACTTCAAAATAAATATATCTATAAAGGGACATTTTCATATGTGTGAGAGATTTTTTTTTTCTTTTTGCTTTTTTTAAACAAAACAAAAGCACATTGCTCTTTTCTTTAATCCTCAACATGAACAATGAAGCCAAAGTAATGCAGAGAGTACAAGCCCAGTTTGGAAGGCAGCTTAAAGTGGGTTAAAAAAGAAGAATGGGTTTCTAGTGGCCAAGAAACTGTACCATGAATAGATTTAGTCACAGCGTCCTGATGAAAACATCTCAGCATCGGGAAGGAACAGAAGGAAGATCGTTCAATTCCATCCTGCAGGCCAGGATATTAGGCGAACAACCATAAAGTTTACATTTTACAGCTGTATCGTTCTCCGTAGTTGAGAGAATTGTGAAATACGAAAAATAAAAGCGAGAAGGTGGGGCGAAAAAGCAACACCGAATAGGATGGAATGGAATGTTACTTGAGAGGGATCCCCGTTCCTCCCAGACAAGTTCACACACAGCAGCTGTATATGTCAATCAAGCACTGAAGATGTTGCACCATTTTAGGAGGAAGGAGGAAAAACAAAATGCTTGGCCACATATTGGGGTGAAAAAGCGTTACTTTGAGCGTGACGAAACGCTATTCCCTCTGCGAATTCAATTAAATCTACAGTTTCAGGGGCACTGAGGAACCGGGAATTAGCCGTGCCTCTCTCGTGCTAATGAGGCATGGCTAACATTAACAGAGGTATTTTTATTGCCAGGCACACTTTTCTAAATCAAGTGCTTGTAATCGAAATACCTAAACACCCTACCTTCTATGCCACAGCCACATAATCTTTACCCCCACCCACCCCCAGCCCTCCCAAAAATATAATAATTAATTTATATACTTTTGTACTGAATTGTAATTAAATTGTACCATGCAATTTCTCAGGACATTTGAAACATATAGCTAGTTTTTCTTAAAACTATTTACAAGAACGTGTAACCTGCATAGGTCGAAGTCTAAGATATCTATGGTACATTTGCAACTCTTCCCTATGCAGCTACGCAAGCTTCTCCATTCAGAACTACTCTGGCACCTATCCATGGGTTAGATTGCAAAAAGACTTAAACCCTAGCCTTATACATTCAAGACTAAGAACAGTAGTGTATTTCTGCTTTTCGGATTTGTGCAACAAGTACAAATGTTGGAGTATGTGGGACTAAACGAGCGAACCGTGGGTTTGTGTCGAGCAGGCCGACAATTTTCCCTCGTGCTCCCAGACTCTAGGAATCCTGGGAAGTAGAGCACCGTACCTTTAAGAGCTTACTTTCGCACTAATTGGCTAGAGTACAACAATGCATGCCCACTTGGAAACAAACGGTTATAAAAATGGTCAACGGAATCTCCATGGCGCACTCCTTTGGCAAAATCTCTATACTATACATATAACAAAATATATATGTGGAGAAAGCAGTTCGATACTAGGGCACGTCCGTAGAGCGTTATGTTTGGTGCGTAGTGAACTAGAGGAATTTTTCAAACTACAGTGAAACACTTTGTACATGCTACTGTACATAATACTGTGCTTTTGCCTCATTATAATGGTGATACAATTGGCATGTTTTGTTTAGAAGCGGCAGAGTAGTATACGCTAACTTTATAGCTTCTCCTTTTCCCGTAACTACTGGCCCGATTCTCCTGGTAGCTTATGAATGCTTGGTGTCTGAATTGCTGTGTTTTGACCACTGCCCGTTCCCTTAACTCGAGTCACCCGACTAGTTCCAAGCTGAATTCACATGCTGTACGTAATTCAGATGAACTGATGATCCCTGAGGTCATTGTCTACAACAAATTGAACCGCTAACATTTGGAAGAATCATTATGGAAGTTGGAAGTTTATGTATGCTATGGCATGTTTTCAAAGGGAATTATGAAAGCTATTTTACCCATTTGCCATTAAAAACAAACAATCTGTCCCCATAGAAGATAGAAAACATCCTGTCACGTGGCTACGGGCGGTCACCAATGTCTTTCGCTACAGTCAAGGGAACTTAGAATCCTTCAATGAAACCAAATGACCTCCCGTGTTTGCATTTCAAACAACAGAAGAAATAAAGCTCTATAACAAGCTTGTAAATGTACTGTGCACAGAGATGAAGTCTGGTTATTTTGATTGTGACATGTGTTATCAGCTTGGAATTCGCTGCAACCTTTACGCAGTGCCAGATCCGGAGAGGGATTGCCAAAGTATAGAGTGTTCTTGAATGGGTGATATTTACTTAGACTTTTCAAAGCCGCCCAAAGAGAAAATAAACATCAGAGAAGAGATTGGAATCTTACAAACAGACATTTTGCTCAAATGCAGCATTCTGTGTTAGCAAGTTGTTTTACTAGGGGGTGAAATGGCAAAGACTTTGATCCCACGGCCATCACGAGAACCCCAGGAGAAGAAAACGCAGGCCTCTCCTTTGTTGTAGCATTTTATGAACGAGTAAAATAATGCTTTGTGCCCTTTGGTCAGTCAAACGTTACTACTGAGCCCAAAGAGAAAATAAACATCAGAGAAGAGATTGGAATCTTACAAACAGACATTTTGCTCAAATGCAGCATTCTGTGTTAGCAAGTTGTTTTACTAGGGGGTGAAATGGCAAAGACTTTGATCCCACGGCCATCATGAGAACCCCAGGAGAAGAAAACGCAGGCCTCTCCTTTGTTGTAGTACTTTACGAACGAGTAAAATAATGCTTTGTGCCCTTTGGTCAGTCAAACGTTACTACTGATTTACGGCAGGATGCCTTGAGCGCGAGGATCATGCGTGAACTTTAAGTACCGTGATTTTGGGAAGTACACCGCTATCGGAGAAGGTCTTGCGAACTTTGCTCGTGAGTCACTTTGTACTCTCTGTTTCTGGCACACCATCATGAGGCCTGTTTTTCCAGATGACAGGCCTTGACCTCTGCCACCTTGCAGGGCTGGGTGCTATTGCAGCGGCAGCCTGGGCGGCTTATGCCGTCGTAGCACTTCTGTGAAAGCTTGGCGCAACCAGTGGCGGGCAAATAACACATCAGGCAGGGCAGCACCAACGAAACGGCCGCCATGAAGGACCAACGCGCGCAACAGTTCGAGTGCGAGCAGGAGCACGGCTTGTCGGCGCAGGAGCCTTCCTCGTCCTCATCAGTGCAGTGGTAGAAGACGCCCTTGACTAGACACATGCAAGTGACAGAGTCCACTAGGTTCTTCGCTGAGCACAGGCACTCTTGGTTGCAAACCCAACACGAGGGCAGGGCCCGGGGCAAAGTGCACTCCGTGCATCTGCATTTGCCGCATTTCTCACACAACGGCACGTGCTTCTTCTCCACTGGCAATGCCGCAACCGCCTTCACATTCTGAGTCTTGGAGCTCAGCGCCTTGGGTTGCTCTGCACCTAGGGTCCTGCCGTGGCCATTGCCAGTAGTGTACGGATCCACAACAGGGGTGGGAGCTGCATGGTCCAGCAGCTTTTGGTCGGAGGAGGTGCTGCTGCTGCTGCTGACGGAGCTGGGCCGACCACTGAAGGAAATCCAGGGATGTGTGGTGGCATCTGGGACCTCGCAGCGGGGCAGATGAGGATGGTGCGGGGCTCCCAGCAGGACTTCCTGCCCCCTCGTGCTTGCCTTGTGGCTTGGTGGCTGTTGTGAGATCACAGCAGGGGTGTCGATGTAGTCATTCTCCAAATGTAAAGATTTCATTTGGTCAATGGGGTAAATAGTTAATGGGTGCTGGAGCCGTCCGTAGGGAATGCGGCTGTCTAGCAAAGGCTGCACCATGATGGAGGAGGAGACTCCAGGAATGTGGTGAGGAACCCTTGACTCCATCTGTAGGTTGTGTTCCTCATATACCAGAGCTCAGGTCAGCATTTAGCACTCCTGCAAAGACCACAGCACAGCTTAGTACTGAAAACCACCCTCACAGAATTCTGATCAGATAACCTAACGATCGGTTCGTGTGGAAAAAGACCACAAATACATCTAAAATGGGCCCTTTGCATAACAGAGAAAATTGCATGCGTAACATTGTTGGGTATATTTAATTCTAACTCATTATTAGGATTTAAAAAAGGAACCTGTATAAACGTTCACTTCCACAATCAGATTAGTATTAAGTACAAGCCTGCACTAGTGTTCTGATGGGAGGGGTTTATTCTGAATAAAACAAACATAAAGTAGATTCACCTAGGGTTAAGATTCACAACGTTTCTTAAACAATTAAATTAGAATTCACAACGCTGATGAAGTTAGATTAGGAATATTACAGTTAGATGGACGCTATTAATCGAGTGTTATAGGTAAAATACTCTCCTGAACGCAGCTGCACGTTTTAAACAGTTAATCCAGTGAAATAATTTCGTTGTACGGTCCTTTAAAATGTTACACAGCCTATCTGTTTGCTACAGAAGGCTGAAGAAAACGGTAGGCTATATGATATGACAAATATCAACCTGTTGCTAGATTTTTGCCTGAGCTATGTAATATATTGAAGTTGCGTTGCTTCTGTGCTTCTCTTGTAAGCAAGCCTGCAGCCTCTAAAGCAGTGTCGTCTGAAACGACGATTTATATGTTGGCGTGCCACAATTACAGTTTCATACAAAGCAGACCAAATTCAAACGGCGTGTTTAACAAGAACATATTTACCAGAATCTAAAACCCCCATTGAACATAAATACAGCAGTGTCTGACTAATGTCTCTGACTAATCTCCATTTAGTGCTAAAACCGTTTTAATGCTTAAGATGAGCTTCAGTGCTTCGCGCTGCAGAGAAGCGTCACGCGGTGGTATTAGATAGAACGCGAACAAACGCGGATCATGATACGCAACACGAAATAGCCTACTGTCGCTTCCCCGGTCGAAGGAAGCGACGCGTATACGGTTAACCTCGAATTCTCGCCTGTTCTACGCGTACATTTCATTCTTAAATCGCCCACGATCCTGACGTGGTTAGTTACCGTAGTTAAATATTTACACAAGGCACAAATACACCTACAATGCTTAGCTAAAGAACGGGCTGTATCGGTGCTTTGTGATAAACCAGCGGAATGGAAACGACTCGATTTGAAGCAAGAATATAAACTCCATGTTATAGCGTTGTCCTTGACACTTGGATACATCTACAATTTTTTTTTTTAAATACATAGATAAAATATAACTTGTATAAAAAATTATATATATATATATATATACATACATACATACAAACAGGGATATATTTTTAAGTTAAATGAAAAACTCACTTGCATTAGAAAACCGATCATTTCTTCTCAGATGAACAGTGTTGCGATATATTCCAATACCAGGGAGAGAATGATAGATAGATCCAAACGAAGCCACGAAGAGGAAAAAAAATCCGGACGACTATCCGTGCGATGTGCACTGCAATAAGGACACAGTCTTCTCCATATGATGTTGCAACTACATGAGGGAAATGGCTTTTTATGAATGGGAGGGTAAGAAACGTACTGCGCAGATGCTTTGACAGGTTTTTTTTTTTTTTTTGTGAATGGGAGGGCATTACGACTCAGGGGTTACACTTTTATGAATGGGAGAGCTCCAGATTTTACTGCGCATGCGCCGTTTCAAGATTTCATGAATGGAAGAATGGGGGCTTTTCGTCACAAGGGCAATGTCAAAGCGGATTACATGAAGAAGGCGGCTACTACTGCTTTAATTCGTGTTTTCTATACATTGCCTTGTTCGTGTGTGTCTTCCAAAGGTTCTGACCTGTTACGGTATGGAAGCGTAATCATCTTGAAAGGAAATTTAAGGCAAATGTGTTGGGCAGTTTGAACATACTGCTGTGGTCATGTGTTATTTTTGATATGACGCAATGGATATATGAAATTGCACGATACCGTTTTAGTCCAAAACACTTTTGAGTTTAATCACCACGGGTTCATTTGTAAGCCTCGAGTGGTGTGCACTTTATCCTCATTTTGGGTAATCAGAAAACATGTAAGGAACGACCGGTCTTGCTTAAAATGGAAGAGGGGGGGGGGGGGGGGGGGGGG